GACAGTCCCTACGTAAAAGAATAAATGGACACAAATCGGACATCAGGAATGGTAACATACAAAAGCCAGTAGGAGAACACTTCAGTCTCCCTGGACATTTCTATAACAGATTTAAAGTCAGCATTCTTGAACAAAAAAAATTCAGAAACAGACTTCAAAGAGAAACAGCAGAACTAAAATTCATTTGCAAATTTAACACCATTAATCTGGGCTTGAATAGGGACTGGGAGTGGCTGGGTCATTACAGAAGCAGCCTTTCCCCTCCTGGAATTGACACCTCCTCATCTATTATTGGGAGGGGACTCCATCTAACCTGATTGAATTGGCCTTGTCAACACTGGTTTTCCACTTGTGAGGTAACTCCCTTCTCTCCATGTGTCAGTATATGATGCCTGCATCTGTAACTTCCACTCCATGCATCTGAAGAAGTGAGATTTTTTACCCACGAAAGCTTATGCCCGAATATATCTGTTCGTCTTTAAGGTGCCACCAGATTCCTTGTTGTTTTTGTGGATCCAGACTAACACGGCTACCCCGATACTTGAGGAACAACACTGTGATGCACAAAGCGTGAGTTAGGTTCCCAGGCTCCCTATACAATGAATGGGGAGAGATAGGTGAATGCAAATGAGCCAGCACGCTAGGCCTAAGCTAGCCCATGGGAAGAGGGGAACAGGGATCTCATATCTCTCAGGCGTGTGCTTTAACCACTGAGCTATGGATGGATATTCTGATAGGAGGGTCCCTCAGTCTCTCCTGCTGAAGCTGTTCCACTGTGGATTAACTAATTAACTAGTCATTAGGCCAGAGAGACAGAAAAAACAAGCAAGTGGGAAGGACTCTGTAACCCAGTGGTTAGGACAACCATTTAGGAGATCCAAGGTCCAATCCCCCTTTCATTATTTGTCCGCAGTGGAACAGCATCAACAGGAGAGATTGAGGGAGTCCCCACCCTAGGGTGACCAGATGTCCTGATTTCATAGGTACAGTCCTGATATTTGGGGCTTTGTCTTATGCAGACGCCTATTATCCCCCACTCCCTGTCCCGATTTTTCACACTTGCTGTCTGGTAACCCTCCCCCCCCCTCACCAAAATCATAATACCCCATAGCTCTGTGGTTAGCGCACCCTCCACCCTGTTCAATTCCTTTCTCTCCCTCTTGCAGATGGGGAGTTGAACATGGGCCTCCCACATCCCTGAGTTAGAAGGTGGGTGGCTGCTGCTATGGCCTCTGCCTGCCAGATTGTGAATGGGATCTGACCTGGTAGGCAGCCTCTGAGCATGCCTCCCAGGCCCAGCCCTGCTTGTGACCTAGGAAGATGAACATCTACTTCTCCACTCCACTGCATTGTTTTGGGGCCTAGGTGGAGATAGGTATCCAGATGCCTAGAAACTTAGGTGCCTATGGGGTTCAGTAGGAGTTTGGTGGATTGATTTGCAATGGAGACAAAACCAGAATTTATGCATTTCAACCTGAGACTAGGGCTGGGCACCCATGTACCTTTGTGGGTCTGGGCCATGGAACTGTAGTGGGGAGTAGGGTGACCAGATATCCCGATTTATAGGGACAGTCCTGATTTTTGGGTCTTTTTCTTATATAGGCCCCACCCCCATCCCGATTTTTCACATTTGCTGTCTGGTCACCCTAGTGGGGTGCACTGTGCACCCGAGTCTAGGCTGCACTGTGCACGCGGGGGTGGGACAGCCTGTCACAAGCCATGTCCCTGGTCGCTCTCGGGCTGTGCGGGCTGTCGGTGTCAGACCCTGGGAATGGCTGACCTGTTTCCAAAACATAAGAACGGCCACACTGGGTCAGACCAAGGGGCCATCTAGCCCAGTATCCTGTCCTCTGACAGTGGCCGGTGCCAGGTGCCCCAGAGGGAATGAA